GCACTTGTGCTTTAGAATCTGGAAGCAGCTGAGGTGTACGCACAATGCATTGCATCAACTGAGTGACTCAGAGGTTATCACGGGGAGGTCACCGTGACCCAGAGTACTTGTGGAAGAGGGAGGGCCCAGTCAATGGAAGTTTGAAAAATGGATGTTTGGAAAAATAGAAAAAAAAAGTTAAAATGTAGTGACAATGCTGTGAACACTGGCCTTCAGTGTGGAATGAGTAGAATACATTTAATTAAGTGTAGAGATTGAGATGGGCCTGCAATAAGTAATTCTGAACATAACACAGGAGGAGGTAGGGCTGGAAGAGTAAATGAAACCAAATGTTGATGGGCTTTCAGTGCCAGGTGGAGAAATTTGGACATAAGCCACTAAACCAATGTTACAAAGGCAGAAGTCAACCATGTAACGTAACTAAATGAAGTGGACTTTGTCGGAGACAGTGGGAGGTCTGCGGTGAGCTGAACTGTGGGGCCAGCACTGAGAACGGCCAGCCAGGAAGCTCAGCTCTCTCAGCTGAAATCTCCGCAGACTCTGAGTTCAGGATTGTCCAAGCCCTTCTTGTTTTCCAAAATAGAGTCAATATATGGAATTTAATGCAAAATTGCCTAGTTTTTAAAATACAAATGGCCTAAGTAAGCTTTTTCTCAGAATAAATTCAGTTATAGAGCTATCAGTTTGTGACATCTTCTATAGGAAACTTTGAGGGTTTAGGACTAAGGAAGGGCCACAAGGAAAATGGCATTTTATGAAGATTAGCCATTTGCTTTGTGGTATTATACATTTTTATTTATTTGGAATCTCCCAAATAGTACCTTACAAGAACACATTTATAGAGACAGAGGCAATTTGGTCTTAAGTAGCAACAAAGTTGCAATAACAGAACTAGACAATTTGCAGCTGTATTTTTCAAAAATGTTTCATACCACATACTCTGCAGTGTGACTTTGGCTCTCCTCTAGCAAGAAATGGAGTTCAGTTCTCCTCTTATTGAACTGAGCTGGCCTTACTGATTCATTTGCCACAGTAGAATTTGTGAACTGCAAGTCTAGGTCAGGACAAGCTATCTGCTCTGCCTTGACATTTTGGGATGTTCCTCTTCAGACACTTCCCTGTGTGATGTGTGAGGTTTCCTCTAACCACCTTCCTTCTTAAAATCTAGCTCTTAGCCTGGGAGAAGCTTAGGTGAAATGGGGAAGCCACATACTGGTTTTCCAGTTGACCATCCCAGCTGAGCACAGCCTTCAATTATCCCAGAACAGATACCAGACATGTAAGTGAAGAAGCCTCCAGGTGATTCCAGCCACCAGACATTTAAGTGCTCCAGAGTCATTCAAGTCCTCCTAGATAAAGCCTCAGACATCGAGAAACACTGCCCTGACTGGATTCCTGACCTCTAACCCCCATGAGACTAGTAAAACGTTGCTCGATATAGTTTTGGGATGGTTTGCTTGCAGCAAGAGTGTAAGAGCGCGTATAAACTACAATAAGAGTGTGCATAAAAACTACACTATACAACAGAAACATTCCAACTGCTCCTCAAAAGCAGAGGCAGGAAAAAAGGAGGCTAAGTAAACAAAAAAAAACAAAAACAGTATTTCTAATCAGCTTCTAGGTTATTCTAACAGAGATACCTCTGACCACGCTCAGGTAATTATATTCCCAGTAAGAGCTCCCCTACTGAATTGAATTCATCCCAAGATTCATTTGTATGAAAAACTAGAACTCTGAGCATTCTCGTTCACTAACAAAATCTTTCTTGGAAATAAAAGGGGCCCGCTTAGCAGGTAGCCTTTGTGCAGGGAGTTCATTCCCACATCGTAAGCAGGCATTCAGGTGTGCACTGAGACCTCTCTCTGCCTTTCCTCATGTCCTCCATTCTAACCAGACCCAAGTGACATGCTCTTGGGAAACAATTTTTAAATTAAAATGTGGTTCCTAAAAATTAAACAGAATAGTAAATAAACCTGTCACTTTATACATTTCCCTCTTGAAAACGAGGGTATCAAACCAATAAAGAAAAAGAATTAACAATGTCTGGAAAAATTAAGCAAAATATTTATTTGCTTACTCTAAAGAAGTTGGCCAAATAATATAGACCAGAATTCAGGAAAGGTTTCAAACCAATGTTAATTCAAATGTTAACCTTGAAGGACCTAACATTTCTCCTTCAGTTTACTATAATGAATCTTATCAAAACCGTTGGTAAAGAAGATTTATTTTTAAAACAATTTTATATCAGTATGAATGGAATTAACACTCCTTTCATTACTAACATGTTTCCTGGCCTTACTCAGACCCTGCTTTCTTTACTAACATGATTTTTTTTGCATATTTTCTGTTTTATGGAAAAGTCTACTGCAGTAACATTGTTTGAAAAAATCTCTAAATCTCCAAACATGTTCTATTTCCTTTTTAAATTTTTGCTTTTTTTTAATTCTTTGTAGTTTCTGGCAAAAACTATGAAAACCCTGTTTTTAAAACTATCTTTACTTAAATCATAACTTAATTTTAGGTACATTTCATTTATAGATTTAAAAGATTGTGTTTTAAAGTTGTTATTTTCTACAAAATTAAGGCAAAAGTAAATGTAAAGATTTTAAAATTGATTTTAATTTACTAAAATAAACACCACAAGTAGTTTTCCTGCTTATGATGCTGGCAATACAATTAATATGAATGACAGGTTAAGTTTCCTTGGTACCTACAATTGCCAACTTTTCAGTTATATAGTACTGAGCACACAATTTGTCTTACATTTGCTTTACAGATGTAGTCTCTGTTAATAGCACAGACACACTTTTAGATAAAATTGTTTTTAGGAGAAGGAACTGGTCTAGATAAACTAAACATGTGATTCTCCTGACACTCACCTCATTCTGCTAAATTTTGTCTTAACTGATAAAACACAGTCATGTTATCAAGCTATGTGAATTTGTTCATAAACTAAAATACCAGGCACAAATCCTTTGCTCAGTATAGCCGTGGTTCCTTTCATTAGGCCCCAGTATTTTTTAGGACAGCAATGCTGCTAATATGTGTCTTGTAGAAATGCCATTTTGAAACTGAAATGAAAACAAAGGCTTTTCTTTTTGGTCTTGGAGTTTGCAACAGATTCACTGGAGCTAATGTCACCCCTATCATTTATTTCCCTATATATTTTCTTCTGTTTTACCGAAGCTGTCTTTACAATTTCATTATTAGTGTTCAAGAAAATCATGGGCTGTGTGTGGATGGCAGTGATAATGCACCTCCAGATCTTCATCTCACTGAACTTCACAGACTGATGGTAAACCACTCTGAAGTAATTGTGCAATTAACAGTTAAAAAGTAGTGCTTAAAATGAGAAAGAAATATTATGGGTTAATATGGAGGGCACTAATTGCTTAGAAATACTCTGAGCCTTCTAAATGAAGTCACTACCCCCATAAAATTCAAGTCTTGGGGCCTTCCCTCCCCCACTGAATTTCTTCCTTCAATTTACAATGGCATCAAAGGCCTTGGTCTCAGGCCATCAGCTCTTCCTAGCACAGCATTAATCCCTGGGAAATGCCCTGTGACTCAGCTACTGCTGCTGAAATGCCAGCAAAACTTCTTAGATACACACACACACACACACACACCCCAAACACAGTCCCTCAAGAGTCTGAGAAATATCACAGCTGAGAAAATTGCTGTAGTGGCTTTCTTCCTTCTCTGACAAAATTGACACCACAAATCCTAAGAACCTCACTTAATGACCAAGATTTTTTGCTGCTTTATCAGAGTAGCTATAATAGAATTACTCACAATTTTTTTAAAAGATCACAGAAAGTAGTTTTAGGAATTAGAACTAATGAAGAGATTTATGACCAGTCTTATAACTAAAAATAGCTATAATAATTTATACCTTCTTTATCCATACATCAACATACAATAATGTAAAAATAACATGTTTATTAAAGTAATGGATGGATGGGCGTTTGGCTCACCTACAGAGAGTGTGAGTGAAGATAGCTGGCATCCATGAGATAAAGACAGAGTCAAACCAAAACATGACATTATTAAAGCATTTTCTGTATTGTAATCAAAAGAAAATACTATAATTAAATAAACCCCAGTGTTTCACCTATATATTTTATAATAGAGAAAATTGTAAATATTTAAAATTTTGAGTTAAAATTATTCACCAAAGTGTTATATAATGTTTAATAAAATAGAAATGTTTCAAGGGAAAATGATTATTTTCATATTTTGTAAAGCTGAGCTCTTTAAAAAAAGACAAAATGGGAACATATATAACTATATGCTATAATTATTCCTTTTGTCCCAAGATAGTAAAAATATTTTTATTTAAAAATCAGAAACTCTTAAATAATCAATAACTAATATAATCAAATATTTCTTGTTCAAGTAACACTATAAAGACAATGCCAATTAAATCAACTTTTTATTCTGTTGTTCATCTTTGTGAACCCTTAAGACTTATTTTATTCATTACCTTCCCAAAGTTAAGTAATTTTAATTTTGAAACGATTTATTATTAATGAATAATTTATACCTGGCTGCTAACTTGCTTTGGGGAATTTTTAAATTATAAAGTGGTATAATTTTGTGTTAGTAATCAAAGTTATTTCTCTTAAATTTTTAAAGAAAATCTAAACATAACAACTGTTAATATATTCATGCTATTTTTAGAGGTTTATTTGATGTGCTGATTTTTAATACATTTTAAATTATTTTAGACATTAAAGACTTTCAAATATTATTTGCACTTGATTCTTTGCTTCAACAGGCAACTTAATTAGATTCCAGTTCCTTTCTGTATGTCTCTGTGTAGCTACACATACGTGTTTGTGTTCTATTAGTAATACATATTCTGTTTATTTATCTTTCTTTTTAAGTAGACCACAATACCCTGTTTATCTTAATGGAAAAAGATGTAAATTTTTCTACCTGCCCTTTAAACTACTTTGGGAAAATGCAAACTCAGCAGAACTAAATTTAGCAATTACCTTTTAGCTGACAGAGTCTTCTGATGTGGGACTCATCGTCAAGCTTGCAGGATTCCTGCCAAATTGTGTCATTGATGGTTTTCCTTCCTAACGTAAAGCAAAGGATTGGTTAGCAGAATTTACAGTGAACATAAGAAATTTAAAATTAAAATAAATTCTGCACATTGTTGTAACTTGGTGATATGAAACAAAAGTTCTGTGGTCCATTCTAGGAAGTTCTAGTCAGTGATGGACACCCCCAAGTGTCCTGTGAGCCCCCATTGTTTCCCTGAACTACATAAGCACCCAAGCATATATGGTAGAATGCTGGTACTGAAATACCTGATTGTTTTTTTTAAAATGATTGTGCTGAGAAAACATTGGGCTGTGGTAGATTCCAGATCCTTGAATAAAAAAGCCAACATTTGCTCAGTCATGTCCTTCCAACACCCAAAGAAGGCCCTGGGCATGTGTGAAGAACTGAACTGCATAGAATTGAAGAACTAGTTTTAAGTAATGCAAATACAGGGAAAGCATCAAACGGAAACAAACCCTCATATTTGACTAGAGAAAAGGCACTGACTAGAGAAAAGGCAAGAATCATGTTGGGATAAAAAACCTCTGTAGTCTTCTGTGTATAAACTGAATAGTGTGCTACCAGAATGGAGATACCCTTGGAAGATACAGTCATTGATGGTTAATCACTGTTCTAAATGAGCTTTTCAGAGCAATTCAGGTACATGATTTTGGAAAAAGTAGTTTGAGCATCCAACTCCTAGGCTCTGCAGGGGAGAAAGAAAGGAGAAAAGATATCCCCATTCTTGACAAACTGAATTAAAAAAATGAGTTATTGACTGAATAATCCAGATGTTTTGCCACTGTGAATGTTTTATAATTAGTGTCATTCTATATCCTGTAAGGGAAATAGAGACATTATCCACTAGCTTTCAAAAAGTAATTTATAGAATTAGAGATTTACGTCAGATTTAAAATACAAACCATCAGTTGCCTTTATCACTACTATGGATAATGTAATTGCAGACACTAAAACTATATATAATACAAAGCATGTAATCAAAACGGCATGGCACGAGCATGAAAATAGTCATATAGATCAATGGGACACAACAAAGAGCCAAGAAATAAACCCACACCTATATGATCAATTTGTATTGACAAAGGAGGCAAGAAGAACATACAATGGGATAAAGGCAGTCTATTCATTAAACTGTACTGGAGAAGTTGGACAGATATATGCAAAAAAATGAAAGTAGATTACCTTCTTACACCTTATTCAAGAATGAACTCAAAATGGATTAGACTTAAATATAGGAGTTGAAACCATAAAAATCCTAGAAGACAACATGGCAGTAAAATCTCAGACACTTCTGGTACTAATATTTTTCTGCTATATCTCCTCGGGCAAGGGAAAAAAAAGAAAACAAATGGGATTTTATCAAACTAAAACATTTTTGCATAGCAAAGTGAACAATCAAATAATGAAGAAAAATCTATTAAATGGTAAAACACATTTGCTAATGATGCATATGATAAGGGGTTAATATCTAAGATTTATAAAGAATTCATACTACTCAATGTCAAAAAAGCAAACAATTGAGTTTTTAAAAATGGGCAGAGGATCTGAATAGATAGTTGTCTAAAGAGAACACACAGCTGGTTAGTAGACATATGGAAAAATGCTCAATGTCACTAATCATCAGAGAAATGCAAATTGAAAGTACAATGAGCCCTGGCTGGTGTAGCTCAGGGGATTGACCGTGGGCTGCAAACCAAAGGGTCGCTGGTTTCATTCCCAGTCAGGGCACATGCCTGGGTTGCAGGCCAAGTTCCCCCAGTGGGGACCACGTGAGAGGCAACCACACATTGATGTTTCTCTCCTTCTCTTTCTCCCTCCCTTCCTCTCTAAAAATAAATAAATAAATAAATAAAATGTATTTAAAAGTACAATGAGATATCACCTCACACTTGTCAGAATGTCTATCATCAATAAAACCACAAATGGCTAATGTTGCCGAGGATGTGGAGAAAGGGGAACACTCATACACTGTTGGTAAGAATGCAGACTGGTGCAGCCCCTGTGGATAACAGTATAAAGTTTCTTCAAAAGTTAAAAATGGAACTGCCTTATAACCCAGTGTTCACGTCTGGGGATTTATTCAAAGAAGTCAAAAACACTAATCAAAAACAATATAGGCACCCCTATGTTCATTGCAGCATTATTTATAATGGCCAACATATGGAAGCAAACCAAATGTATATCAAAGGGTGAATGGCTTAAAAAAAAGGTGTGGTATCTATATGCAATGGAACATTACTCAACCATTAAAGAAAAGAATAATATCTTACCATTTGTGAGAGCATGGATGGACCTAAAGAGTACTAGGCTCAGTGAAATAAGTCAGTTAGAGACTAAGACAAATAGCATGTGACTTATATGGTATTTGAATTACATGGAATCTAAAGAACAAAACAAATGAACAAAGTTGAAACAACTCCTACATACAGGGAAAGAACTGGTGATTGCCAGAGAGGTGGGGGTTGGGGCACTGGGTGAAAGAGGTGAAAGAACTAAGAAGTAAACATGGGGAAGTAAATAAAGCATAGAAAATATAGTAAAAATATTGTGATAAATACATATGGTGCCAGTTAGAAATATTGAGGGGAACACTATGTAAATTATGTGATTGTCTAACCACTAAGCTGTTCAACTGAAACCAACACCTGTTTGAAATGCCGTTGAAAAGTCTTTTGTAATCCAACTATTTTTTAAATTCTTTTTTATTTACTCCTAGTTTCATAAATCTGAAAAGACATCTAAGAGGTCAAGATGACCTCTTAGAAGAGGTAAATGATCAGTCAGTGATTTGTGTTAGCAATTTAAAGTTAGAATGGAATCACATTTGCATTTTTAAAATTTCTTCTATAAAATGTAAAGAAAATTTCATTTGTGTTTCATTGATCACTTATTGCCACTTATATCAGTCGCATAGGAAATAACTTTCATGGAAACAAACCATATCATCTACATGAGTAATCACAAATTACTAACCAAATCCTTTGTTTTCAGACAAAGATCTCCAGATTGACCTAGAAAAATAAAAGAAATAGATATTTAAGTCCATATTTAATAAATAATAGTATTTTAATCTAACAGAAGATCATTTAGACACATGGGTAATGCCTTTAACAACAGAAATAAGTGCTATTTCTAAGTAAGGTCTACACATACTCCTGTATTGTTCTGACTGTAAAAGGCAAAGTACAGTTAATACAGCATAATTGTGGCCTAAAAATTTTCATTCAGTATGGAGAAACTAACATTCATTAACCCCTCCCAAAGAGTAGGCAATTTCTACATGAATGTAACTCCAGATAATTAAATAGATAAAAGTTCTTTTTTAAATAACTGTTTAATAATTACAGAAAGAATGATCAAATATAATATAACCTTTGTGCAATCAAAACAATGATCTGGGCAATAATCATCAACTGCTGTTAAAGCTTTTAATTGAAAGGCTGATTTGTAACTTTGTGCTGGATGGATCAGTCTGATACCATCTGAACCCACTAAACAATTTCAGTTACAAAAGTAGAGACAACCAGATATAGGGATTTCCTTGAAATGTAACAGGAAGTATATAGTCACTGATGACCTACTTTTAAAATATATTTTTATATAAAAATATATAAATTTGAATCTTATCAAGCCTCAAGTTCTGACTAAAATTTTACAAGAAAAATAGAGGGTAAAAGAGCATGTTTTTTTAAAAAATACAAGGATGCAATCAGAAAAAAATTTTAAATATGGGAAATTCCTCAGAATGGCCAGCAGAGTTTCAAATAAATTAAAAAAGAAACATGAGTTAAGAAGCAAAAATCAAATGCATTGCATGAATTTTGTTTGTCTTGTGATTCAAATTAACTATAAAAATTATCTGATGTTATTAGAGAAATTTTAACATCATATTTGGTGATATTAAGTCATTTTTCTCATTTTGTGCTAGTGCAGTCGTGGTATTGCGGTTACTTTTTTAAAGCAGTTCTCGTTTTTTAGAGGTATATTGAAACATGAAACTATATGTCTGGGATCTATTTTTAAAACAACCTAGTGAGAGGGCTGGGGGAGAGGAAAGACAAATGGTAGAGATGAACTAAGATTGACTATAAATCTATACTTGTTCAAGTTTGGGGATGTGATATGATCATAATCTCTTCCTCTGTGTGAAATGTAAATTTTCCATAATAAAATGTCTAAAACAGAAAGAGGAGATAAGACTATACTGACTCAACCACGTTAATCAACTTAAGTGTTGGGTGAAAACACATGTGTCCTACACACATAACTAACTTTGTTATAGCTTGAGTGTGTCAACTGTTTATAGTCATAGTAGTCATTAAGTTAAACCTAAGGTCACTTTTTTGTTGTTTTTTTTAAGCTCAGGGTTGTAAGCAAAACACTGCATGTATAATTTTTCTTCTTTTCTTAACCATTTTATTTATTTGATTTCTAATGCAAAATGCTTAGGACCTTTCTTGGCAAATAGCAAGTGTTCCAAAAAAGCTATTTATAATATTGTAAAGTAAGGCAGGTGCATAACAACATGAGATGTTATTCCCTTCAGGGGAGTGGTGGGCAAAAAAAAAAAATCAAAGAACTCAAGAGAGTCTTTAATTTTATTTTAACTGGTTGGAGTCTGAGGAGCACTTTAATGGATTCAGTTTATGTTTGAAAAACCCTAGGTCAGTCAGCATCAGGTACTTTCCATTTCATTCATTCTCACCTGCCCTTCCACCTGTTGCTATCCTCCCATCTGTAGAAGCATAAATCAATCATAAGCCAATAGCTGTGCTCTTCGTTTAAGTTTTTGATTTGGTATTAGTGAGTTCCTTATTTGTGGCTAGAATAAACGGCTACATAATTGAGTTGATTTTTAAGACTGAGAAGAACCCTGAGGGGAAAAACACTTTTTAAAAAAACTCCAGCTTATGTTTAAAATGAAACTGCTATAGTTTAGTAGTTAACTGTGGCTAAAATACAACTACCCTTGCCTGGCAGGTGCTCCAAGCTGTTAATCCTGCAATTACACACTTACTATGGATGCATTTTATATCCTTACCGGGAGGAAGCTTTGAGCAGGGAAGGGAGGAAAGAATAAGCAAGCATGCAGTAATTGAGGGAGTTGGGGCAGGGAGAGCAGGGGCTGTGGAGGGGGATTGCTGGAACAGTGTCCAGAGAAATTTTCACATATTAACAATTTAGTCTCAGACCATTCTGGAGTGCAAGGTACCCATTTTTCTGTATCATCAGCAACCAGCCTGGAAATTTCCCAATAAACCAACTTCCTGCCCAAATCCCATTACTGCAACGTGTGTGGGCCACACATCCTCTAGGGACTACTTGATCAGCTGAATGCAGAGCCGAGCCCAACCTAAATAACCCAAATCTCTTTGCAAACACATTTTTATTTGGATTAAAAGAACTCTCCAGAAGATTAATAGATCACTGATAGAAATGTTTTTTAGTAGGCTCCCACTTTAATTTGAGCCTAGTATAATATAAACACATTTCTTTTTCTGAAAATTTAATTTTCACAGCCTTGTCTACAGGAATATCACACCATACATTTCCTATGCATCAGCATAAACAGATAAATGGTAGCAGAGTAAAAGATACACAGATTTGCACGTGACAATTTTTAAAAAGCACTTTGACAGAAGAAACACTAAAAGATTCCATTCAACATCATAGAACTAAGAGAACATAAAGTTTTCAAGGTAAATTTGACTTTCTTTCTGGTTTTACATTCTCAAAATTAGAAACTTCCTGTAAAATAAAAGAATACTACCTCAAAAAATCAGAAAAGGAATTCAGTTACCGTTCATCATCTAATGTAATCCAAATGTAGATCATTTTGCGCATTCCTAGTAAAGTGACTGGTATCTCCTCCTTGCAGGTTAGTAATGTATCATAGAATCATGCTTCAAGTTTTTTTCTCCTTTTATTTCTGTAACATTGAGAAATGTAGAATGCTTCTTTCATTAACTAGGGTTTGTGCTTTACTCTAAACCCTTTCCAGTCTTCTAAATAAAAACCTGTGATTGAGTCCTCATAACCTGAACTTTTCATGCCCCATCGGCTCACCAAGGCCAAGGGGAGAGAGACATACCAAAATATATTAATTACGTTATATACTGCCTTTCTTTGAGAAAGATGGAAAATAGCCCATCATGATATTCTAAGTGTTGATTTAGCTGGTCTTTTTCTTCAGAGCATTAATCACTGTATAAGCCATTACACTTTTTGGAGAAGAATTTGTTGCCACATCTTTCACCATCCTTAAAAGACTGTGAACTGCTCCCAGGCACCTTTCAGGACACTTCTGATTCTCTAGTTATTATTCACTCCCCCCTTCATTTAAAAACAATGTTTTTGTTTTTGATATTCAAAGTGGTTTTTGAATATCTACCACATGATAGGTAACAGACCATGTTCTGGAGAAGTTTATTTAGTATGGTAGGAATTTTTGCATTAAACAATATTGAGGCCAATATGCCACATTTTGCATTAAGTAATATTGAAGCCAACATTCCATATTTGGGGAAAAACACACTGTAAAGGCTAGAAAGTGATGAGTAAAATTAGAAAAGAAAAATCGGTTTTATTATTCTAATGATTTATAGGGTTAGTCTGAGCACTGTCAAATCCAGAATAATCTTTCCCCTACATAGCAACTAATGGGTCATTCCTCTAACCTCTATGGTGTTCTGTTTTGTTTTCTTTTCTTTTCCATCAAGATTTAGCTCTCAAGGACAATTTGAACTACCTGTTTCTAGCTGAGTATAGCATCATGGAAAAGCCCATATGCTGAAACAATCAGTCATGAAACTTAAGCAACAAACTTTGCCAAATTAAAATGCTGGTGGACTGCCTAGAGGACAATGTCTAGTTGAAGAAAAGTGTGGGTAGAGGTACAGATATGGGAATGAGGCCCTGGAATTAGTTGGGACATCAACAGAGGTTTGAGGAGTAAAAGGTCAGACGGACCACTCCTACAGTTCTCTATGCTTTGTCATCATATGTCCTAAAAATAATCTATGGTTTTATGAAATCTCTATCCATGGTCTTATGAAATTCTTTTTGCCTTGGTCTAGATGTCTCCATACCTTACCCCAGGACCTAACTGTGCCCCTTTCAACAAAAATCAGCAGCCTCAGCAGCTTACTGAAAGTCATGAGGAAAGAAGATGACCATTCATTATTATAGTAATATTTTGCTATCATGTATTTTTGTAATTTAACTAGGAAGGAGCAAGATCCATGTGAACATGATCTATGAAGTCTGGGCCAAATGTCTCAATAACCAGAGTCCATTGTCCTGAGCCTAATTAATTTATTGTATAGGTGGACATAATATCTAAATTGAGAATTTTGTACTCATCAAAATAGATTCTACCTCTTTTGAATATAGAGAAAAGAAGTGTCTAGTCTAGAGATAACGAGTACAAAAGGTGGATCTGCAATAGGAAAGATGGAAAACATCAAATGTTTTTATCATTTCAATCATCCAAATCACAGTAGAGTTGACCCTTGAAGCTGGGTAGGCCCACTGATCGGCAGATATAATTTTTTCAATAAATATATTGAGCCCTCCATGTCTGTAATTTTCCCATGTGTGCAGCCAACAAAGCCATTAAAACAGTATTTCAGATCATGCTGAGGCAAATTCTGCTTTGTGTGGTGAGCACCTGCAAAGCAGCTCACATGCTGTGGTTGGGGTTGACCCTCACAGCCAGCCAGCCTGAAGGTTGACCCCATGTGTGAACAAGCTGGGAACACTGAATTACAAGAGGAGGATTCACATAAAAACACACAAAAGAAATTTCTGGAGCACCAAGATCAGGCGATAAAGGCAACTGTGCCACTGGGTCCCACACAACACATAAAACATAAAGCCACTCCACCAAGACTGGGAGTCACAGTAGATGTACCTAATTCATCAAAACCAACACAAAGAGGCAGCCAAAATGGGGAGACAAAGAAACATGTCCCAAATGAAGGAACAGGAGAAAGCTCCAAAAGAAGAGCTCAATGAAACAGAAGTAAGGAACTTACCAGATATAGAGTTCAAAAAATTGTTGTAATGATGCTTAGGGAACTTAGTGATAATTTCAACAAAGACACAATAAACAAACAAACAAACACATAGAAACTGTAAAAAAGAACCAGTCAGATTTGAAGAATACACTATCTGAAATGAAGAATACACTTGAAGAAATACATATTAGACTGGGTTAAGTAAAGGATTAAATCAGTGAATTGGAAAATAAGAAACAGAACAAGTCAGATTAGCAAATTTTTATTTAAACATTAAAAAATGAGAATAGTTTAAGATACCTTTGGAACAACATGAAGTGTAACAAAATCCACATCATAGGAGTACTAGAAGGAAAACAGAGAGAGCAAGGAACCAAGACCCTATTTGAAAAGAAAATGACTGAGTAGTTTCCTGACATGGTAAAAGGAAAAGACACACAAGTCCAGGAAATGCATAGAATCCCAAACAAGATGAACTCAAAGATGACCAAACCAAGATACAACATAATTAAAATAGGAAAGATTAAAGACAAAGAGAGAATTTTAAGAGCAGCTAGAGCCAGATAGTTAGTTGTCTATGAGAGATGTCCCATAAAAATGTTATCTGATTTCTCAACAGAGACATTTCAGGCCTGGAGGTATTGTCATGAAATATTCAAAGTGATGAAAAGTAAAGACTTTCTACCGAGACTACTTTACTAAGTAAGGCTATCATTTAAAATTAAAGGATGAATAAAGAGCTTCCCGGAAAAAAAAAGTTAAAGCAGTTCATTACCACCAAGCCACCAGTATTACAAGAACTATTAAAGCCTTTTCTAGAAGGAGGAGGAGAAGGAGGAAGAGAAGGAGAGGAAGAGGAAGAGGGAAAGGAAGAAGAAGAAGAGGAGGAGGAAGAAGAAGAGGAGGAGGAAGAAAGTAAGGAGGAGGAAAAGGAGGGAATAACAGAGAAGCATAGTTATAAAGAATAAAATGCAATAAATATTGTACATACCTATCAAATATCACTTTAAATGTAGGCTTAAATGCTTCGATCAAAGACATAGGCTAGCTGAATGGTTAAAAAAAAACAAGACCTATACATATAGTGTCTACAAGAAAACCACCACAGAATAAAAGACACAAGCAAACTAAAATGAAAAGGTTTGTAAAAGATGTGTCATGAAAATGAAATTTTTAAAAAGCTGGAGTACTTATATCTGACAAAGTAGACTTTAAAGCAGAAGCTATAGTAAGAAACAAAGGACACTGCATAATGATAGAGATAGCAATCCAACAAGAGGATATAACCCTGGTAAATATCAATACACCAAATAGGAGCACATAAACATATAAAGCAAATCTTGATGAACAAATAGGGAGAGACTGACAGGAATACAGCCATAGCTGGGGATTTTAACACCCCACTGACTTCAATGGGTAGATCTTCCCAGCAGAAAAATCAACAAGGAGACAGCAACCTTAAACAATACATTAGATCAAATGGATTTAATTGATACCTTCAGAGCATTTCACACCAAAGCATCAGAATATACATTCCTTGAAAGTGCATATGGAATGTTTTCTAGGATAGACCACACTTAGGACACAAAACAAGTCTCAATAAATTGAAGATTGAAATCATATCAAATATCTTCTCTAACCTCAATGCTGTGAAAGCAGAAATCAGTCACAAGAACACTGAAAGGCATGCAAAGACATTGAAGCTAAATACGTTATTAACCAATGAATGGGTCAACAATGAGATCCAAGAGGAAATCAACAGATGCTTTGAAACAAATGAAAATGATGACAAAACAATCCAAAAACTGTGGGACATTGAAATCCAATGAACAAAATAAACAAACAAAATAGAAAAGGACTCATAGATACAAAGAAAAAACTGACAGCTGTTAGAGGACTGGGGGACTGGGGGACTGGGGAGCTGGGTAAAAAGATAAAGAAATTAAGCAAGGAAAAAAATAGAAAACAACTCATAGACACAAAGCACAGTATGTTGATTAGCAGAGGGAAAGGGAGGTGGGGGAGTGGGAAGAGGGTAAAGAGAGAATAAATGGAGTGACGGAGGTAGACTTGGCTTTCGTTGGTGAACACACAATGCGACATACAGATGATGTATTACAGAATTGTGTGGCTGAACCTATATAATTTTTATCAATGTCCCTCCAAAAAATTTAATAAAAATTTAAAAAAGAAACAGTATTTTGATTCTTGGTTGGGAATTTGTACATGTGGATGACTGACTATATGTATTGGTTTTATGCATTTTATATATGGGACATGAGTATCCACAAATTTTGGTATCTGCCGGGGTCCTGGGACCAACACTCTGCCATATCAAGGGGCAACTATGGTTAAATTTTGGAGGATCCAAAGTTGTATGTGGGTTTTTGACTGTGTGGAGAGTCAGCATCCCCAAACCCCATATTGTTTCAGAGTCAACTGTACTTTTGTGTCAACTTATTATTTCAGTGAGTCACTATTTCTGCTACCAAAATTAAATCGAAATGAATCACACTTGTGTGCAACTGAACCTCAAGTATTTGAATTGGGACAGAAGGCATAGTACTCAAAAACATTGCTCTTATTGACCTGGGTGAAGCCTTGGCTCAATCCATAGTCAGGTGTTAGACCCTGTTTAAATATTTGTGGTTGTTGATTGTGGTGAAAGGGACACAGTTAGCTTATGGGCTAAGGATGGGAGATATCTAGACCAAAACTGAAGGAATTCCATAAGACCATAGATAAAAACTGGTTATTTCTAGCACATAGAGGGGTGAGCAAAAGTAGATTTATGATTGTTCTTATAAAGAATAATTCATGTGGTGAAGACTGGGGGAAGGGGGTGGAAAGTTAGTGGAGGGGGGAAAAGGGGACAAATGGGGAAAACCTGTAACAGTATCAACAATTTAAAAAATTTTAAAGAAAATAATGCAAAATGGATCAGTATTGATACAAGAATAAAATCTGTATTTCACGCATTCACAACCATAAACATACTTTTCACAATATTTTCTAGGGACTCTCTACTTTGTTCTGTTTTACTGGAATCCAGCTCATCCAATTTTTGTTTACAATGAATTAGCTTAGGTTTGGGAATCTTTTATTGAAGGGTATCCTTTTAATAAATACGTTGAAACTATTTTGACTTAAAACTTCCTTTTAATCCCTGTTAATACAAAAGAGTTAAGGTAGTTCTCCTTAGGCAACCTGCTTCCTCCAAGAGGGTAGGAGAAGTCAAGCACATTAAATGCTTGTCTGAAGTGTGATTATATGAAGGAAAAGGATTACTGAAACAGCTCAAAATTTACTTAACTTAAGGTCTGTTCCCTGGGTGTTGACAAGTTGTGAATTACTACTGAACTGTTTGAGCAATGTTTAGTACTACTTGTACCAAAATCAAAGCACCTGTTTTAAATTCTGACTTCTGCTCCCACAAGCAGTCTTTCAGGTCTTTCAGTGTTCAAACCCTAGGTTCACTGATGGGCAGGTCAGAGGAGGACTATGAGTAGTTTTATTTTGGAACCATATCTATGTGTGTGTGTGTATGTGTTACTCTAAACTCCATAAAGAAGATCCCATTAGAAAAACTCAATTAAATAATTCTGTCTTGTCCATTAATTTGACACTTGTCAAAATACCAGGCAAAACTTGTGCCTGTTAGCCTTCATTTTATTACCCCTTAAATCAAACACTAATTGTTAGTTTTACATTTCATTCACTTGGGAGTATGTGGCTTCATTTAGTTTTAACCCTGGAAATTATTAGGAAAATAAAAAATGAAATGTAAGCAACTTATGAATGGGCTGAAGAATATGTTCAACCTATGTTACCGTTCAAGTAAATAAGAATAGACTCTAGGAGCAAAGCATTTTCACATAATCATGAAACAAGCTCAAATTGAAAAAAAACAATTAGAAATAAAGAAAGAAATGGCATTTAAAGAAGGGAGAAACTTTAGATACCAAATACCATATTACTATTCTCTTGCAGTGGTTGCGGTTGACTGTCCTTTGGGGTGGAATCTAATATGTGCCTGTTTGCTGCATTATTGGTGTTTATTTATTTATTTAAAATTTTAATTGAATTTATTGGGGTGGCATTGTTAATAAAATTATATAGGTTTCAGGTGTACCTGTAATACATTCTCTGTACATTGTCTTGTGTGTTCACCACCCCAGTGTGTCATTGATATTTAAATCTTACTTTTGAATCCCAAAGGCAAAAGAAAGAAAAGGAGTGACTATGTCAGGCATTGTGCTTACCTCATTAATAAAAATGTGAAAGGTATTTCTGCACCGGAGAAAAATTGATGGGCGTTAAATGATGGTGTAAATCTTATGGGAAACTTTTAAGACTGTAGAGATGATGAGATCTGATCTTTGAGTTGCAAATGAATAAACTGAGGTACCAAATAGTAAGTTGATTTGTCCAGAGTTACACACATAGTGATTTACTTTGATTAAATGCTAGTCACTTTATTCATTCTAATATATTCTTCCAGAATCATATAATTCATTCTTTCATACATTCACAGTTCATTCAACAAACATTTATTGAGTACTACTAAGACATTGTTTTAGATGCAAAGAAGAAATACAAAGAAGAAATGGTCCTTCTCTCAGGTATCCCCTATCAAAGACTTTATCTGAGGATCTTACTGGTTTCTGTGATTTTCTTAACTTTGAAGATTAAATAAACTTTATAAAATCCTTATATGATTCCAAATACATTGAAGATAATT